ACAGGAAGGTGGTGATGACGGCGGATATTGTGGGGCGGTTGAGGAGGGATGCGCAGTGGGAGTTTGTCGGTGACTGGCATGTGGATGAAGCGCTGAAGGGGATAGGGACGGTGTATAAAGTGAGAGGCGGCTGGCGCTGTTGCGAGTGATGTTGACTCTGACGCTTATGTATCGTGATGCTTTATCTCTCTCTTCGGATGGACAGTCTTTCATAATATGTATCTGCTGGAAATTACTCGTAATTTTAATATTTAAGCTGGTGGACACTGAACTGAAAGCCATTGGCCTTTGATAGACCCGTTCCTCGGATGACAGCTGATTCTCATCGACAGCCGCCTTGCTATAACCCGTCCGTTTACTTGAGAGAGGAGAGGAACATGAGAAAGACACTAGAGATTCTATTACTACGCTAGCTGATGGGATGACTCGCCATCTGATTTTGTTCGAGACTGTAAAGGTAACGTTGAAATCGCCAATGACGGCGTAGGCAGTATAGTTTGTTCCGCTCGCAGGAACCGCCGCGCACCTTGCCAACTCTCTCATGCTAGATTCCTTGACGGATTGACTTTTCAGGTTCGTCCTCAGCCAGTCTTTACAACCTGCACACCCTCTTGTGGCGCACGAAGAACCGTCTCGGGGATCTGACGTATCCGAATATAATACTTTCTCGCACACATCATCATTTAGCATGACAATAGTATGTCTGCCTAACAAAGTCATGGGGTCACCTACTCACTTGCGACGATTCCATATCTGGGAGGTAAATTTATGATCCAGCATGGCGCGGGTCATTTTTCCCTTTATGGTCCGAAAGTCGCGGAGAGCTTCCGAAGCGGAGGGCACGCGCTCACCGTGTAGGCCCATCATCCTCTCCATGAGTTGGATTCCTTCAGGGAACACATCCGGTACCATCTGTGTCGTAGTTGTCGTCGTAAGTATCTACAGAGAAAGACTGCATAACAAGACGGACTCACTCGAAGGTGGCGCTGCATCATAGCCCCGAGAAGCAGAACATCCGCCTCAAATGGGTTGCACGTGGATCCTTTGCCTTGTAAACCCGCCCTGGTCTCCAAAAACAGGTTATGGCGAAGGGGTGCATCCTCGAGCGACATATCCTGCGGCACCACAGAAGCAAACCCAAAGTCGATGTAGGCAAAGACGCAGTCCTTATCGAGATCAAGAACTCCATATCCGGTCACGTCACCAGGAAGAAGATTGACGAGCGTGTTTTGGTCCAAAATATCACAATTGGCTACGCGTTGTTCGTGGCAGAACTCAAGACCCTAGGGTTGAGGTCAATGAGGGAAAAGGCTTAATCTAGAAGGACGCTCACCTCAAGAAGCTGCTCCCAGAGAAATACGGAATCCTCTAACGTCCGAAAGCAAACAGCAAAGGCGGATATCCAGCTTTTGACAAGTAAACTTGGGAATGAGGACACAGGAACGGCCAATCAATCATCACACCATGGCATCGCTAGGCATCACTGCGAAGACCAAACCACCCCATGTGACAAAGTCCAAGACAGGGATAGTGCGATTTCGGGGGTCCGAGCGCGCAGCTGGGGTGTTGAGCCGCTGTAAAGCAAGAAATTCTGGGGTCGGAGAAGAGGTAGTAGAGACCAATCTGTGTGACATTATAAGTATAGTATCTAGGAAAGCAGATGAAAAGAAGGGCGACTCACTTTATGACAAGCTCTCTCCCCAGTCTATCTCTAACGGCCCATAGGCGCGTGCCCTATTCAACAGATGAGCGATTTTCCAAGGAACGACACTTGAGATGACACGTACCAAGAATACAAAATACGACGGTGTACGAAATCTTCTGGCTAATGGATACTCTTGAGACGACTCGGAGGACGGCGGGGGCCAACTCGGGGCGTCGAGTATCCCACGGTCAAGATTTCTGACATACAGAAAGTATCCCCGCGAGGCGAAGAAGGGGGTCAAGAACTTCCACGCATCCATGATGCGCAATTCGCGTCGGTGATAGTCTTCCATACCGTCGAATGGACCAATGTCCCAGTTAACGAGGTCTCCGGAAGCTGGGTATCGGTGCCACCATGAGCGAATAGTCCAGAGCAAGGTCTCGTGCAAAGTCTGCATAGGAATTATTCGGAGATGTCGGTAGGTGTAAACACCCGTCCCAAGCAGAGAAAGTAAAGTGAAAGCGAGCTTCGTGGACATGGTTGAAAACCAAGCTGGTCATACTCGGGTCTTTGGAGCTCGTTGACGTCACGCAAGGAAGAGATTGGAGGGAGAACTGCATAACCAGATGCCTTCTTACTACTGGAAGGCGCGACGGGCACCGAAAGCAGATTATAGTTCCGAGTGATATCTCTGCCGACCACGACGCCACCGGTGGAGAATCGATTGCAATTATCGCCTGGTTGCCAGATGAGTGCTCAAAACTAAGGGTACCTCTCAGAGAGAGAATCTCCTACAGTGGTACTACACCGAAGATCATTACTCGAGTAGCGCTGAAGTATGTGGTAGACGCACCCTTCTTAGACACCCCGACCCCGTCAGTGCCGTCATTCACAGCGGGCGCGCTGCTGTTCGCAAATGGCCTATTACGTTCAGCTCAATTTCGTACCCATCCATGGCCGCTTGAGCCGGCATCAACCTCGGAGGACGAGCCATTGGTGACAGATATCGTGAAGTTATCCGATGCCGGGACGATGAATGTTAGATTTTAGTGGGCTGTCGAGGACAAAGCAAGTCATGATCTGTGTCTGGTAAAACATGTTGACGCCACCCGAGGTGATCTATTTGATTGCCCGATCGTCCTTTGTTCAAGGATCTGTGTTTTGTTCTGTCCATACACTTTCATTATTCGTATGGTCATTATGATTCATGTCGTATCCTCCATTACGCCCACCTAGAATTGACGCAAGACAGTCCCGTGGCGCACAACCCCACTCAGATTCGGGAGCACCTGATATGCGGACCACTTATACAGGTCGGCAGAATCGGAATACGTGTATTTGCCCGAGCTGTACCCGTCCATATAACTTCACATGTTCCTAATCAGTCCCGGGAAAAACGCGGCAGAGCCTGTCATGGACACTCACAGGCGCGTCCCGTTTGACAGCTGCGTGACACAGCCGCCTTCCGCTTGCCCCCATCCCGCAAAGTCGCCCGTTTGCACGAACGTGTACGGACCGGTCAGCGACGAGGCAGTCGCATGCTCGATGTGCTTCTTGCCGTCGGTCTCAGCCTTGGCAAATATGTGATATGTGCTCCTGCGCGACAGTCTTATTAGCGTTTCTTCCAAGGCAATGTATATCCAGACGTACCCGACCAGGATAGGAAATGTATCGATGTAGCCCAATCCAGCGTTGGAAATGCCGGACATGACAACAGGCCCTGTCCACGTCTTAAGCGTACTGTCCGTGGCGGTAAACACGTAGGGCAAGAAAGGACCGTATGACCCAGTCGAGAGGGATACGACGATATTGAGTTTACCAGTACGTGTATCCTTGAAGAATTCCTGTATGAAAGCGTCTCTCAATCGAAGCTGATTAGAGAGAAGGCTCTACGTACAGGAGCCCATGTGTTATTGGGCGTGATTACAGAGGAAGCGGTGGGTATAGTCGCCACGAGCGTCCATGAAAGCAGATCGGAACTACTCTGCAACAGGAATCGGCGCAATGCAGATCAAGTATTGGTGGACTTACAGCGATGGCGAAGTTAGTTCCCGTCCAATCCGTAGTATCTACGCCGCTCCTTTTCAAGATCAAGACCAAACATCAATTGGCGTAGAACGCACAAGCGATATAGTATTTCCCGCTATGCAGATGAAGTCAGCTGCGTCCTCTTGAATGAACGATAAATGCACTCAGTGTGCAAGATAACACTTGGGTCCCGAATGAGTCCCGTAGGAGGGGTGTACGCCGGCCCCTTCAACAACGAAAAGTTGGTGGCGTCGTTCGAAGTATACACGTAGAGATTGGATTCCGAGGCGCTGGTGAATGCCGTGAAAACATACTGGGAGCTGACTGCGCGTCTGAAGAGCTCTGGGGACAGTTCCGGCCCAATTAATCCAAGCGGAGATGCCGCAACGAAAGCGCAAGACAGAAAACAGAGCAAGGACACGAAGAGGGTCGCCATCATGGGAGTCCTTGCACGTAGAACATGGAAGCGTGTATTTAAGAAACACTTTTTCCGGGCCGACAGTCGGTCCAAGCATCACAGGTGAGATCACAAGAGTCGACGGTACATGGCAACATGCGCTCTGAGGATCCGGGGTATCAACGGAGAGCGATCGCGGATATCATACACTGTAAAGCGGTAGTAATAGAAGTGAAGAAAATCGAGGAAGAAGAGAAGTCGTAGAGAAGTTCGCCAGAGAAAGATGTAGTGTTGCATGACCGCCACCATGTAAGACGCATTTTCAAGCCGATCCTATTTGGGATGATCGTGCTGGTGAGCAGGGAATGAAGACCGCGCGGACATGAACCGAGTTCTCCATCGTCGTCACGTCCGAGTCTAGCTTTTCCAGAAGATCAAGTCGGATAGACTTCATAACAAACGCATTCTCTGTCCATCGACGAGCTCATGGTGTATTCGTACAACAGTTGACGAAGCGCAAGGGCGTATTGAACTTCCTAGCATCACCTAGCTACAACAACGACTGGCAGATCATCCGAACCATGCCCCGCTCGTCCGCGTCAAAGACCATTCCGGTTCCGGGAGACAAAAAAGCGAAAATGGGGCTCGTCCTGTGTAGAATCGTACGCCTTCCTCCAGTTCGCGGCTAAGTTGATCGATGCACGCCATACGCCAGAGTCCCGGAGAAGCATCTCTTGACGGGTCCGTACGTGAAGGACTCCCAGCAATCGGATAGTAAGAATCGATTTCTTGGAAAACAAGGGCCTTAGGTTGGCGGGCATGTCAGATGGGCAAGTTAAGTTACAACTTAATACAAGGGACCGCTGTGATCATGCGAAAGTCAGCTCCAAAGCGATCACGTGATAAACATTTTGGATGCCCTTGGTTACAGCCCGTTTAGCTCAGTGGTAGAGCGCGCCACTCGTATCGTCTAAATGAGCATTGCGATGGTGAGGTCGGTTGTTCAATCCAGCCAGTGGGCATGTATGTGATATGGATGGTTTTTGACCGTCTCCAATTTTTTGGAGAGTAGAGTATTAGGGTGGACTAGGGTGGCGCAGTAAACCTCCCGGGGGTGTTAATAACGGTATCAATACCGACCCCCTGGGAGGCCCTAGTTTCGATACCGTTAGTAACGGTTTCGATACCGGCACGTGTTTTGGACACGTGATGTGGCGCAGCGGCTTGCCGCCCCCACCCCGCCCTTGTCCCGCCAATGTTAGCTTCTCTAGGCGCCAGCGCGCCGTCACGTGAAATGATCACGTGTCGGTATCGAAACCCTCCGATCCCTTGGCCAAGGTTTCAATACTGTAAGGTAGGGGACACTCATATGTAACCTACGTCCCAAATCGGGACAGATTTCAGTAAATCGCTTCCTATAATTTGTATAGGACTCTGGGGGGAAATTCCTCCGGTTAATCTCTTTAGATAGCTAATAAGAGTGTGCAAACCAAAAACGAAAGAAATCCATCCAGGTGGAGGTGAGTTATTTCCGATGCAAGAAAAATACTGCCATCAGAGACAATGCCATCAATTTCGAAATAACACAGGATTGCGGCTACATATGGCTTCCCGGTTTTCTCCCAATCCATTGTAACACTATTTCAAGTAATTTAACCGGAGGAATTTCCCCCCAGAGTCCTATACAAATTGCAGGAAGTGATTTAGTGAAATCTGTCCCGATTTGGGACGTAGGTTGGCTATGAGTGACCCCTACCTTATCAATACCGTTAAAAACCACAGTAAACCCGAGGTGTATCAAAACCTAGGGTTTACTTCACCACCCTAGGGTGGACACTAGGGTGGTGCAGTAAACCCCCGGGGGGTGTTAGTAACAGTATTGATACTGACCCCCGGGAGGTCCTAGTTTTAAAACCGTTACTAACGGTTTCGATACCGGCACGTGCTTCGGACCACGTGATGTGGCGCAGTGGCGCGCCGCCCTGATCCCGCCCTTGTTCCGCCAATCCCTGCTTGTCCTCACTGCCGGCGCGTCGTCACGTGAAGAGTCACATGCCGGTATCGAAACCTACCTCCCGACCCCCGACAGTTTCAATACCGTATTGATACCGTTAGTAACTGCAGCAAACCCGAGGTGTATCGAAACCTAGGGTTTACTGCACCACCCTAGTGGACACTGGACAGTGGCACAGTAAACCGTGTTAGTAACGGTATGGTATTCGAAACCTACCTCCCGACCCCGGGGCCCGGGGCCCGGAGGGTTTCGATACCTGTTAATAACCGCAGTAAACCCGAGGGTATCAAAACCTAGGGTTTACTGCGCCACCCCAGGCATTTGCATGTTAACAACCATACCAATCAATGAACATCTGCATTGTGGCGTATTTTATTGATATCTGTTTCCTCTGATTTGACCACTCCTGTTCAAACAGCCTGATTCGTGTTGTATTGCAGCGCTAACTGGTACTTGTTTTGACTTTGGTAAACATGGTGGTGCCGCACAACCTAATGCTTGAGCTTAGCCTAGAATGAGAAACGCGCCACTGTTGGACGATGGCACATAGGTGCCGTAACCCTAACCCGAGGGATAGTTTGCTTGCGCATGTTTATGGTCCGAACCTTATTTCTGGTTTGCACGGCGACCACGACACGCGCTCAAAAAAAATCCAAGGTAGGCCGGCGCCTGCCCCCTCCTCCGCGTGCACTCGACTCGATCTAAGGAATCAGGATGGACCCAGCGAAATTAGCCAAGCTCCAAGCGGCGGCGGCGGCGAACCGGATTGGAGGCAAGGGCACCGTGCGGAGAAAGGTTGTGCGCAAGACAAAGCCCGCCGCCGCTCAGGATGACAAGAAGCTCCAGGGTGCACTTAAAAAGGTGTGGACCGATTGTGCGGCATTCCGGATTTGGCTAATATTCTGGCAGCTGAACGTGCAACCCATCGCCGGCGTCGAAGAGGTCAACATGTTCCAGGAGGACGGCAACGTACTACACTTTGTCGCTCCAAAGGGTGTGTTCTGGTGATCATACCTTGTTCACCGATTGAAAACTCCCGTAGTGCACGCCTCACTTCCCGCCAATACACTCGCGATCTATGGTACCGCACAGCCTAAAGAGCTCACAGAACTTGTCCCCGGTATCCTCAACCAGCTCGGCCCTGACTCCCTCGCGTCTCTACGCAAACTCGCAGAGAGTTACCAAGCCATCCAACCGGGGGGTGCCAACGGTATGTTTCCCTTCTTTCTCCATTCCGTTTCTGATCTTCTTCCACAGCACCGGGCGCACCAGCCTCAGCAGACGACGACGACGACGATGTACCCGATCTTGTCGACAACTTTGATGTCGAGGGCGCAAAGCTGGATTAGTGTAGTTTGTAGTGTTCGTCAATTTCATTCCCTCTCGACTTTCGCTCATCCTCACGCAGTGTAAAAGCAGAAATGCATTAGTTTTTTGGTATTGCTCGGTGGTAAGACGTGAATAGCGGGATCTCCTCAAATTGCTACTATAAACACTGGCTTGTGCCTAGTTACTGTGTATATCCTACGTGCTTCCGAAGGTACCGATGCTCTTACTGATGTGTCTAGCGATGCTCAGTTTAAGTTGATTATACTTAGATTTAGGCCGATGCGACATGATCTTGTGGCGCAAATAAGTTGGTACGCATAACAAGCCTGTGGTCAGGGGTAGAGGCTATGGCCTCAGTGTGGCGCAATTTCTCAAATGTTCGCCGCATTATCCATCCGCTTTCAAGTGATCAAATAACTAATACAACATTATTTCGAGTTGAAGCTGAAAAGATAGGAACTGAGCTGACCTCGAATATCTCCTGACGAAGCGAATCGAATCCAGTTCCCAGAGCGCGATTGCGCTTCCTAGTCCTCGCTCGTACTGGCAGTATTAAGAATGTACTTATTCATGGCCACTTCGAAGTCATTCAACAACATTCTGGTCTGTAATCATATCGAAAGCAAATCAACGAAATCCCTCAGCCCTATTCAACACCTTTACCCATCTTGACAGCTCGTCCAAATGACCCTGAACGTTACGCTTCAACTCGGAGGCAGTCACCTTCCTCTTCTGTATACTGTTCTGCAGCTGACCGTAAAGTAAGTCAATCTGACGCAAATCGTTGAATAGACGATGTCTCCGTTCCTTCTTCAAAATGATTTCGTCTGTAGAGAGAGAGCATTTTCAAGATGATGATGTCTGAAAACAGGAATTCTTTTAGCATACTTTTGTATTTGTTGCGCCAGAGCATGACTGCCGGAGAGACGATTTCGTCTTCATCGGTGACGATGGCTTGACTTCGGCCATCTGTAGAAATGTCATCCTTAGTGAATGTGTAAAGGCTCGGAGGAAAGGAACACGTACTATCAATGCATTGCGTGTGCTTCTGCAGATACTTTTTGAGCTCTGGAAAATGTAAATATAGCAACCAATTGTGGGCAGGAAGACGCTGCGCGCACCTTTGAGAGTGTTCTCCGTATCTGTGTACACTGTGAGTTGAGCACATTGAATGAGAAGCAGCGCAGACGGACAGTGCAGTTTCTCATTGCGAGCTTCGGCGTCTTTCTCCACCATTGTCTGCTTCAGGGATTTGATCTCGTCTCTAAGGTCCTGATTCGTCCGCTTGAGCACTTCGATTTCGTCTACCAACGCTGAGTTGTTGTTCTCCAAGGTTGCTATTCGGACTTCGTTGGCTTCCTGCTTGTCTTTCCAATCTGGCGAATCAAGGTCAGTGATAGCATCGGAACGACTTGGACGACTGACCGGCATAAAAGCGTCGTTTCTGCTCTCCGAATTCTAAGAAAACAAACAGTTGTTCAGTCGCCTCTGATGCTGCCGCTGGAGGAGATTTCGTACCAATGTTTATGTTTTCCTGTGTGATGAGTAGACTTTTGGTGTGGAGGTAGGCCTTCTCGTAGTCTTCCTTTGTCCAGCCGTCCCGGTCTGGGCGTAAGAAATGTCAGGATACAGAAATTTGCATGCATACTACCAAAACAGACGCACCGGATTCACCGATGTAGATATTTCGAAACGCCTGACTCGGCGGCGGAGTTACACGCTGTCGGGATGGCGCCCGAGTCGTAGAACGGATGGGGGTTGTAGGAGCGCGTGTAGGCGAAAAGGCCTACCAGATTTAGATCAGTACTCTCATAGAAAGCCGCTTATGTTCTTAAAACGCACCTCATTGTCGATGTCCATACTATCAGTGGTCGGTTCGGGTTTGGCTGGTGGCTGGTGCGCTGGTCTCGGAGAGGTGACTTGTCTGGATCTCGGTGTGGCGCGCGGACGCTTCCGTTGTGGTTCCATATGTTTGATAGCTCGACGTACGATATCTTCAGAGTACTCCGCATGGTCCCAAAGTATAGTATGGACCACAGCATCCGTTTGTCTACTGCACGAGAGAGACTTGTTGGCTTTTTTACAAGGAAGGCAGGCGACGCGGGTTGCTTGACTTTTGCAGACTTTGGGATCACGACAAGCAGTACATGGCTATAAGGTAGACATTGAGATAAAGACGAAGAAGTGGGAACGAGGGCGGAGAACGTACTGTCGTAGCGCCGTATCTGTCAATCCACTTTTTCTGGTGGTAGCTTTGACTCGAGATTTCGTATAGTTTGGTCTTTGTCTCGCGAACGAGTTGCATTATCTTCGCGTCTTTCATCTTAGCAACGGTCTTGCAGGGAGAGCGGGGGGTTTTGTGAGAACGGCCAGTGGGAGCTACTGGCATTGCGGACGTCGCGCGGAGTGAACATGGGGATCTGAGGAGCAGTTTTAAGATCAACGTATAAGCGGGAATAAGATTTATAAACCAGCGCAGATCGTTCATATCAAGTACGCGTCACCAGCTAACGTCTTCTAAATGAATGGCCAGGGAAAGCGATAGAGGCAAGCGTGGCGGATCCTTTGCAAGAGGGCAAACTTTTCAGAGGTACAGGCGAAGTCGGGCGAGCCAGGGCGAAGTGAGTACAGTACACGATGGCTTGTTAGAAAGCTGTCTCCGCAGTTAGTCATGCGAGGCTCGCGAAGTTTAACAAGGCGCATCATTCATAGCGGGCCTATTGGTATGATACTTGAGCTTCTGATGAGCTGGAAAGTAGCAGAGTTTACCATTTTGGTCAGAACATGGGCAACGCGCCACATAAAGTTTACCGACTGTCTGGAAAACGAAGATACTGTACTCACATGTATGACTTACACCGGCCTTGGAGCGTTACGCTCTGGTATAAGCCTCGGCACCTTATACAGACCCCAAAGCCAGCGTTACTCCCACTGTAACCTTATACAGGTATATAGCAGGTATTCGACCAAAGCACGGTACCCATTGCCGACGCGCAGACGAGACTCGAGAATACCGCCACAAGAGCGCCGTCATTGATGATGACGTCCCCGGAGAAGAAAAATTCCATTTTGAGGCCTATTCTCCATGATTTTTTTGCGCGTAACGCACCCCGACCTCTACAACGACCGCTGTGTTACGGGTTACGACCTTCTCAACCTTACACACAACGGACCCTCCGTTACGCGTTACGGTATAAGTCATACATGTGAGTACAGTATGTCTGTCCAGAATTCCCGGTTGCTCTGTGATTACCTCTGGTTGCTTAGACATTCGGGGTCCGACACTGGGGATACATGCCAATGGGAAACTTGGATGCTGGCTTAAAGAGGAGTTGTGCATCCAAAAGCGGACGGAGTTTCAACCAAAGATCTTGTAAGTGGGAGGTGAGTCAAATTAAACCACGTGCTTGATACGCGTGCGGCGACGACGACGGCGGGATCGTCGTCGTCGCCGCCAACGATGTACTCCGATTCGAAGGAAACGCAACTTCATTGTCAAGGCGCTGCAGCTGTCGTCGCCGAGTTTGCCAGGGTCGCCGATCGTAGTAGCACCGGCCTCTGCCGTACTGTTCTTAACTCTCGAGTCTTGACTTGACTGCTTCCTGCCATCAGAATCAAGATCCAAAAAATACGGTTGCAGATGAACGACGCCGGCAAGATTTGAACTTGCGCTCGGAAACCGAAACAGATTACACCGTAAACCATTGTCCGTTTGCATTCGAATCTGTCGCCTTAACCACTCGGCCACAGCGCCTTAGTAGTGTGGCGTCATTTGCACTTGCGATCGCATCTAGCGATTACTTCGAGCAAGAGAAATCTCAGTGCAGCAACTTCTTCTTCCATGTTCTTCCAGCGCGGGTCGCTATTGTAGTCCAAGATCCCGAGTCCCACTTGAATGACATTCATTCATCTCATGACTTGGCTTAGAAATTGACTAATTGTGCGAGTGAAGGGCTGATGATATCGATACACTATTGTTCATATACACTATGAGTACATTTGTAAACTTGATACAGTAAGTACATCGTTTATCACATCAACCAACCGCCAGTATCGTCAGTAGCTCAACAGCTTGCCAAGCCCCAAACTTCCGTACAACTTGTCGAGGCCCTAATTGAAGGTGAATGAGTACTAGCCGACATTGCGTGAAAAACGACTGACCATAGCCGTGACAATGCCCTTCAAGAGCCCACCCAGGCCCAGGCCGTTAAGGAGCCGTCCAACGAGATTGAGAACCCCAGCGAGGAGCAGTCCGACGCCGCCCACGATCTGCGTTAGCGGTGCTAGTACAAATTCGCGTGAGCGATAATTCGAATATCCCGCGACAACGAAGACTTCGTACCTGCAAGCGCATCCAACAACGGCCCAAGGTCCTTCTTCGCTTTTGGAAACGCATCGAGCTTATTCTTCGCCCACTCAATCGTGCCGCCTACTTCCTCGACCAGCTGGAAACAGTACTCAGCTACCACGCCAGACACGAGCACTGAGGGAGAAGACATACAACTTTGAGCGCCTCCGCGAGCCGCTGCTCCTGCGGGCTCGCAGTATGATCGCGCACATGCCTCGTCGCCTTGTTCGAGAGCCGCTTGTCCGGGTCCGCGCCGCGAATCGCGCCGTGCGTCTCGTGGAGTATCTTCTCGGCCTGCTCGAGCAGCGGCTTCACCTGCTGCACCAGCTCGTTCTCATCGCGCTCCTCGTCCGGGCGCGCGAACATCGCGTCGATGTGCTGCGGGGTTAGAAGAAAGGTTGAACTTGAAGGGGAAGGAGCGTACCTGTCTAATCATCTTCGTGAGCGGCACGACGCGCGAGTTGGCGTCCTCGATGAGCGCGGAGAGCCGCTCTGCCAGCTCGTTGTCCGTTTTGATTTGAGCCGCGGTGCGCTCATCCTTTGCCGTGTCGGGTTTGTGCTGCTGTTCCCCGACGTCGACGTTGCTGGCAGAGTCGCTCGGGTCTAGATCTCGTCCAGCGTGCGTCGACGGGGGAGGTGCAACTTCGGACATGTTATCAGGGGCGGAGTGGTATGTAGTAGATTCTGCCGTTGTAGTAGGCCGAAAATCCAAGGTTGCTTGAGGGAGAGAGTTGGCGGGTTGCTTATGCTGAAGTAGGGAGCGCAGCCAGTCGGTATTTAAGTACCACCCTCGACCGGATGACATTGGAGCATATGACGAGGTGCCACTTTGTATGAGGAGGTGGCGGCTTATAGTATATGGGGTCAAGACGTGGAGGTGATGTCGTCAGAACCAAAGGTAAGCTCTAAGAGGTGTGTACTGAGACGTAGACGCAGAGAGAGATGGAGACGATTCCGAGTCAATTTGTTGGAGGAGCCTGGAGGAGCATGCTAGATAGTTCACAGACTGAATATGAGCAAAGAAGTTCAATATCATCCTAGAAACCGAAATCTAAGACCTATTGTTGTTGTCATTGTGACTGATGCATATGCTCCGTTCCAGCTTGAATCGGTTTTAACGCGCGAATCACTGTAACGCATGACGGACAGATGACGAAAAGACTGCGTCTGTGGTGGTGTAGCGAGGTCATTGCGCAGTGACGAAGTGCAAATGAGGAAGAAACAGATACACCGAAGATACGGACCGATTCAAATGTTGACCTTTTTCTCTGACCATGAAGTTATCTAAATCCGACGCTGGTTTATAGCAAACCCTATCAAGAAATTACACTGATCGCTACACATCAAAAATCCACTGTACAGAAAACAAATTACACGCCTCGATTCAACGCTTGACCTTCTTATTAGCAAGCCCTTGATGATCAAGTGGAAGTGTCCCAAGAGGCTCTCTTGCTCCCCCCATAGTCGAAAGTCCCATCCCGGGCCCAGGTTTGCGTCTTTTTTAAAACGCATCAACACAAACTCCTTCCAAGAGGAAACAAACTTACGGTGCACCATCCACGCCGCGCTTCACACCCATCGGAAAGTTGAAGTTACCCGTGGGCGTGTCCGGCCGGCGAGCGCGCTGTGACGCAGTCGTCGACGCTTGCTGCTGCTGCCGCTGTTCTTGCAATATCGCCTGCTCCATTATCGCAACCCGGTTCTGATTCGTCACCGTCTTGGAACCAGAGGGAGGTTTGAACGGCACGCCGACGATGCTGTTTTCGACGTTTTCAACTGGCTGCTGGTTCTGATTCGTCCGTGATTGGGAATCAGACGACGACTTCAACGATGCGCCAACAATAGTGTTATCTGCACTCGCTGCCTGCTGCTGTATCATCCTTTCAAGATTCGCGCGACGTTCTGCACTTCTTTGCGCCTTTTCCTCGGGAGTGAGCACTGGAGCCTCGCGTCGTTGAGGAGCAGGTTCCTCGCGCTTGACTGAAGCGCATCGTTCCCCAAGCACGCTTCGGTCCACGTCCGGAGGAGGTTCGAATGACGGAGGCGTAATTGCCTCGTCCATCGTAACATCGTCACCCTCGGGTATGATTGGCTGCCCAAGATCAGCCTCCAATTCCGCGTCATATAAGCCGTCGTCAGACATTTCGGCGAAGTAATCGGGTTCATTGCCGGCGATGGAAGGGGCAGCAGAGGTGGAGGCTTGTGGTATTGGTTGTGGAGGCTGCTGTTGAATTGGTTTGGGAGGTTGCTGTTGGATTGGTTGTGGAGGACGTGGAGGGGCAGGTCGCTGAGGCTGCTGAGGAGGAGCTGGGCGTTGCTGTTGATTGGAGGAACGCTGTTGTTGGGCCTGAGGCTTTTGCTGCTGCTGAGGGGGAGGCGGTCGTGGAATTGGCGGCTTCTGATCAACATCTGACGGTTCCTGAAACTCTGGGCGTCGATGAAGTTTGGTTGTGTCAAGTGTGGGCTAAAAAGTGTTTAGACAGGTGGTATTGGACATGGATGCAGTATCTCACCGATGGAACTTTCACTTTGTGTATATCCCTCGTGTAGATTTTGTCGTATAGACAGTTTCCCATTATGTTTCCGAATGCCCTCAAGGCCCGCTTCAGTCCGTCGGTTACCGCCTCTTTTTTGCACTGTTTGCGATTTCAGTAGGCGTCAAGTAAAAAGAGAAGGAGCGTACCTTGTCAAGCGTAGCCGACTTGCCTTTCATGTTCTCCGCTGTACCATTTCCAACGTCCTCGTGAAATACGCCCGTCCCGACCAGTGTTACTCTCACCACCGCTGTAACATGCATGGCGATACGGCCATTGTCGTCGACATCGATAAAGTCGGTAGTAAGGGAGACGATGCTGGAGCTCCAACCGTCATATCCAAAGACCTCATTGGCCAAGTTGATCATCTTCCACCCCTCGACGTATGTGAGTTTTCCTCCGCCGCCAGACCGCGTAGAGATATATTCAGGACCGAGCTTTTTCTCGAGCACTTTCTGGAGCTCAACAGGCGAATATGGCGGATGAGACGATGTCGAAGGCACTGGATTGGAGGTTCCATGCATAGTTGGACTGAAGGCGACTGGGCCAGCAGTCGTCAAGTTAGGATGTTGGTTTGGGGTAGTCATGTTTGCCTGAGCTTCGTATTGTTGAATAACGTATCCACTAAACTTCCCCGCCATCCAGCGTGCCCAAAAATTGAGGCTAATAACCAAGAAAAAGAGACGACGATGAGTAGATGAGAGTGGGAAACAAGTGGCGATTGTGACAAGTCACACGGCTAATGAGCGTGTTTGTGTCACCTGATCGCCCTTACTGACTCAAAACTTAAAAGGTGAGTTCGTAGCTTCAAGACGGTTCATGTTATGGAGGATATACATATTGTGAATGCATCTAATGCTATGCTATGCGAATGAACAAATTTCGTACACAAGAGGCAACGTCATTGGCATAGTGAGCGAGTCTTTACCCCGCCGAAGAGGAAGAAGCAGCCCACGCTAACACCAGAGCCCATGGTTTTATGCACGAGAACACTCGAGCTGAAATGGTGACAACAGTCTATCGGAGACGCGTCAAGAGATGGTGAAACACTGAGTGTAAATCAGTACGCACCAGGATTTGAGTAGAGGATGTCGTATGGGGGCGAATGACAGCGCTTTACATGCAAGAGGGACACACCAAGGCGAGCTAGACATTACCATGATGGTAGAAGCTACGAGCCATCGACCGCCCTGTACGATTTGCACGCAAGATCACTCCAGCCATTAGAGAGTACTATAGTCGACGAATGAAATTCGTTTCACATGCAAGCGGCACGACACGGTGAGCTAGGCTTTACCCATAGCGTAGGGAAGCGAGCTATCGAACCGTGTCGTCCAAACAATTCACATGCGAGTTCACTCGAGCCGAATTTGGATCTGTCGGTACTGTCATGCTCGTGAGTGGAGTTGGTGACTTGAAGAGAAAGCAGATACGCACCAGCACGACATGTGGTATTGTAGCATGAGCCGAACGACGAGCTTTTACATGCCAGCGGAGATCTTTCAGCGAGCTGTCGTTTCCCGTGTCCGGGAAGAAGCGTCGAGCCGATGTCTCGAGCAATGCATCAATTGGCGATGTAAGGATCATTCCAGGCATAGCGTTTACATGCCAGCGGGGAACATCACAGCGAGCTAGTCGTTTCCGCTACAGGGAAGGAGCCTCGAGCTGTAGTTCCGCCAATACGTTTGGCACGCAAGTAAATATTAGAGATAGTGTCCTAGAAAGACGTCAGGGCTGTCTTGAGATAAGAGACGTTCGTCCACATACCGGGTTGAATTACAGAGGACACAGGGGGCGAAGGTTTGAGTTGACACCATGGCTCGTCAAGAGCTAACTACAGGGCAGCAACGTCAGACAAGAAAGATCATAGAA